ATAAACAATAAGTAACAAATAATAATAAATAAATAATACTTATAAGAGTAAACAGTAATTTAGTGGTATTTTTTAGTCGACATATTGAACTGAGGCAATCAGTCACGGGCCGTGCTATACTTTTCTGCAGTATTTATGGATGAGTGGATGGATGGAAGGTTTTGCAGTGGGTGTTTGAGATTTCTCCTTTTTCTCATCTCTGTTAACGTTGATTTATATATTATCATGCTATTCCTTTTTATGCACTAAAATGTACATTTCAACGCCTTTCAATTTCGTTATCCATTTCCGATTTTTTTTCGTTTTAAGAAATGAAACCTCCATCGTTTGCTTTCATTATTCTTCTCTTTTTGTACCTTAACGATATCTTTTCTCCGAGATAGTTTATTTATGTCGTAATTCATTCATCATATCTTTGCACAATTAATATCCTTTTTTTTCATATGAGTACTGATGTGTAACATATCCTATTCTCGTATATGACTCTTATATCCGTATCATCTTTTTAATCATTTATGGACATGAAATTCATCCGTAACACGTGTGCTGTATTTAATCGAAACGAATGATTATTAATCCACGTGAAATTGTTGGCATAGATTATTGGGGTGCCATCTTCTTTTTTGTTACCAGAATGAAAGAAATAAGTGTTAATTGCAGAATAGAATGAGAGATTGTACTTTCTTGATGTCGAACATCAGCTGATGACGTTGTACTTGAAATATAAAGTAAATATGCAATTAAAGAGTATAAATGTAGTCGAGCATCATTATTTAATCTTTCTCTTGGATGAAATAGGACTGCAGTATGCAGATTGCTAGAAAAAATTATTGTTTAGTGATTTGTATTGCTTTGGTGGAGTAAAATAATAGTATTATATATGTTGCTTTAAATGATTTTTTTTTTATTCCATTTCTAGTGAAAAAGTAGATATGTAAAGAATTTGCTGAAAAAATGAAGGGTGCATAAATGAGCAAGCAAATAGACGAATGGATAAATTACTCAGCAAACGAATAAATGAAAAAATGAGGAAGTACATAAACACATAACATATATATTTGTAAGATAATAAATAAGCGAACGCAGTTTATTTTTTTTCTCTGGTTTCTTTTTTTTGCCTCATTAAACTGCTTAGCCTTGTTTTAGATTCAATGAGATAGGAAATACGTCATCAGACAGTACATTCTTTTTAATTGTTTCTTGGAGGGAATCTAACTTGAGTGCCGTCTGAGTACTATAAACTTATTTAATCATGCTTGCATGGCAAAATTTTAAAGAAGTTGAAAAAAAAATGGAAAACAGACTCTAGTCGAAATTATCGAATCTTCAATAAAATAAAATAAAAAGCCTGTAAACAACTTCCAAAATAAAAAACTCTTTCAGAAAAATTTCCACAGATCTCAAATAGTTTCAAGAAACGATCTTTCGACACTATGTTCCACAAAGCTATTGAAAGTTTTCAGCACTCTCTTGCGGAACTTTACAAAATATACGAAGATTTCTGACGAACTTTAGTGATTGTTTGTCAGATCTCATAGTGATTAGTTCCACTAAGATTCTCATTTATAGCTTGTAGATTTATTCATAATCATTTGTACATACGCATTTTTCTGTATGATTGAGTTATCCTCTTTGATATCTAGGGCATGACGAATTTTAACTGACACATTTGTAGGGATCCACTACCAAAATGCAGTCGATAATATCCAATGTTATTATCATTTTGCCAGCTTAATTACGCTGCTTATTTACTTATTTTCTAAGTAGCTCATTTGCTTGCGTTTCTCAGTTTTCTGAACACATAGTCTATTTGCTGGATAATTTGTTTATTTGTTTAGTTGTCGGTTATTTTGTTTATCTTGTTTGCTTTTTTGTTGCAAATGGCTCTTCATTCCTCTTCGTCACGTTCTCTAGCCTTCCCCATTTGCATAGGAAATATATGATATCCGTAAGTGTAAAAAGGAATGGGTATCATCTCAGTAAGAAATTGATTCAAATTAAATCAGTTTGTAGTGTTTTGCCTTACGAAGCTGTATATTCAGCAACATTCGGCATGATTATATTGATACACGGCTAAACTTTGCTTAGTTATAATAAATTGTTTCATTTGCAGGTTTGCACGTCTCTATATGGGTCATTCTCTTGGTCTGGTTCGATGTGACAATTTAGTATTTTCGACTTTGATAAGGTTTAACACGATTTTATAGGATCAAAGGTGTACTGCTTTCATTTCTATCACTTATCGACATTCCAGTTCTTAAGAAAATATCGTCTGTCAATTAATCAGTCATGACCAAAGATCGTCTAAGCGCTCTTAAAGCCGTATGTCTCTTTTTTTAAGCTTTTTTTTTCAGCATTTCTAGATATTTCAGAGCAATATTTTTTATCATTAAAGAAATGAACTGACTGAATTATAAGTGACATTTTTTTCTCTTTTCAACTTATAAAATAATAAAAAGAATGAAAGGCTAGAACAGTAGGTTTATGCTATCATGATCAAAATCAGTGATAAGTCAGAATTCTAAGAACGATTTGATGTTATGTACTTTTTCTGGCACGGTGTACTAGTAGGTGGATCATTACCCAAGAACAAACAAATCACTAGCAAACAGTTCCATTAATTTATAATTCGGAACTAAGTTCTTTTCCGGGAATTCTATAGATTTGTTAAATTCTAAATTCCTTCGTCTTTACAACTTGTAATTAATGTAATTAATACATTTAATTTGTATTAAATGTAATTAAAATTTTTACGCAATCTATAAAAATGTGTAGAGTGTAAAATTAATTGTATTTAATTTTAATTTAATTTAATTTTTTATTTAGTTTCCACCGTAATTTGGAAAAAAAAGGAAAAAAATTTAAACAATCTAAAGAAAAATAATGACAACGTTTCAGGCACAAGCAGAAGAAGACCATGAGGATGACCTGGCAGCAACAGATAGCGCGCAAGGACAATTCATGGAAGAATTTTTTGAACAGGTTGGACTTTTCGTGCGTTCGTCTTTGTATCTTTGAAATTCCATGAATTTAATTTATTTTACTTGGTGAAGTAATTGATTTGATTTTGATTTATTGTGGTCAAACAAAAAGATTTAATGCTAATTTGTTTATTTATTTCTCTCTTTTTTGTGATTGATAAATTTGTTCACTCTGCAAAGAAAAATTTTAATAATTAATTTCTTATGCGCGCTAGCAAATTTATTAATTGTTAAGGTTGAAGAAATACGAGGTAGTGTAGATTTAATTGCATCAAATGTGGAAGAAGTGAAGAAGAAACATTCAGCGATTCTTTCCAATCCAGTTAATGATCCTAGTATGTTCCTTGTATTTTTTAAAAATTTCTCCTAATTTTTAGATCGTAATTTTAATTTGATACTTTCAGATTTTGTCGTGAATTATTCTTAGGCATTATTTTATGCATTCTAGCAAAATTCATGTTCATTTTCAGTCAGGAGACGAAAGAATATCAAAATCATGTAATATTTATTAACTACTACTTAACGTCTCTTTGCTTTCCGTTATCATGTGTGCTAACTGTGTATTTTGCAGAAACGAAGGAGGAATTAGATGAGCTAATGGCTAGCATTAAGAAAACTGCAAATAAAGTTCGAGGAAAACTGAAATGTTAGTATTTTTGTGTCTTACCAGTTTCTAGAGCTTGTAAAGATTACTATGGGGTAAAAGATATTGAAGATATGTTTTTTTTTCTTTTTGTGATGAGAACCGAAAGGTTTCGGAACTTACTCAGAATTAGAAAAAAATGCTCGCTGCAGAAACAAATCTGATCACTTATCCATGTTTGCCCTATCATAATTTATCTGGAAAATCTAGGGTACTAGTTCATCTACTTTTGAATTGTATTAATTTAAATGATAATAGTAGTTGAATTAAACACTGCAAATATAACTTTTTACTGGATGAAATATTTCAGTGATCGAAAATAGCATTGAACATGATGAAAGTAGTGGATTATCGTCAGCTGATTTACGTATACGAAAGACGCAACATTCAACGCTTTCCAGAAAATTTGTTGAAGTGATGACGGATTATAATAAAACACAGACAGATTATCGCGAACGTTGTAAAGGTCGTATTCAAAGGCAGTTGGATATTGCTGGTAAGCAAGTTGGAGATGAGGTAAGCTTATTTGTTTTTAAAAGATTTATTTTCTTCAGCTTTTCTTTAGAAATTTGTATAATTATGGAATTACAATTACATCAACTCCTGATTAGATTATGTTAGATTAGTTTAAAGTTTATACTACAGCAGAGTAAAATTTCAACTTTTATAATAAAAAGTTTGACATATGTTAACTTATGTTTTAGTATTGTTAGGATTTTACTCAGCATGCGATATTAATAGTATTTTAATAAGACAGGCACAACGTAAGTACCGATTAGATTTGGTTTTGACAGAATGATATTGATTAGTTTTTAGATGTTGTAATGAATCTTTTTATTACTGCAAACTAAGAACTACTGTACGCCCAAAGTAGGCCCACAGTTTTAATCGGCGAGTGTTTAATAATAACTTTATTTCATTAAACTATTGCTTGTCCGAGTCATTTTACATGTAGAAACCTTTTTGCATGATATGATCCCCAAGATTTTCCAAATGAAAATGTAGAAGATGTAGTTGAGTGATTTCTTTTTGGGTCTTGCGTTCTTTCCTTATCAGTGCTTGCTGTAATCTTTATAAGTAATAGTTTGACGAAATAAAGTTATTCTCCTATGCCATCTTTACATATTGAGCCAGATTTAACTATCCATCTGCAGGATAGAATAAAATTAACGTTTTTTTTTTCTAAATTTGGTTGTACAGTTGAGTATTATCTTGAAAAAACAAGTAAACGTCGCCGTAATAAACTATTGGCAAGTTTACTTGAATATAAACTATGTTGCTTTTACACCGCAACATAATGTTTGATTTGAGTTTTTGCAATTTTGGCATTGTAATTCTTTTTTCTAGGATCTGGAAGAAATGATTGAATCCGGGAATCCAGGAGTGTTCACTCAAGGTATCATTACCGATACGCAACAAGCACGGCAAACGTTAGCGGATATCGAAGCTCGTCATAATGATATCATGAAATTAGAATCAAGTATACGTGAACTGCACGATATGTTCATGGATATGGCAATGCTCGTCGAGTCTCAGGTAAGTTTAAAGGAGTGATAGGAACATGATTTTGTATTGGAGTCATATTGCAGCGGATTATAGATCTGAAATTGCGTGCAACAGTACTAATTCCGGGTTTTTTCCATTACTTTATTATTTATTATTGTTAGCCTATCAGTGGTAACTTTGGTTACATATTGTTTATTGCTGCTAAAATTCTTTAACTATAACCGTTGCCATCATTTAATAACACACTGGCATCGATATCTTCAAAGAGAATCCCGACGCTAACCATTAAACAAATGCACGAAATCCACCATCTCTCATTCTTTGCAGCAGTTTTGTATGTGGGATATTGTTGCAGATAAACTTTAAGGCTTCTATTTTTTTCTTGATACGACGTAAATTTTATAGGGCGAAATGGTAGATCGGATAGAATATAATGTAGAACACGCAAAAGAATTTGTCGATCGGGCTGTAGCTGATACGAAGAAGGCTGTGCAATACCAAAGTAAAGCAAGAAGGGTAGGTTTCTTTTTCCTTATGTATTCTGAGAACAGCACCTACAGTCGAGTTTTAGCTATTCATATCATTCTAACTGAAAAAAAAGTGCATAATAAAAGGATTATGAGTTGATCTGCAAGTCTTCTTCTTTTGGCATAAGAAAAAGTGAAAAGATTTATTTTTAGATCCTGAAACACTTAGCAAAATATTTAAGAATTTAAAAATTAAAATAAATAGTAGTTCTGAATGCCTATTTATCTCCTGATTAGCGTGAATGCATTATACTGTAGTCATTGAATTGTGGTTCTAATCGTCGTGTATCATCTGTTAGCCGTCTGCATGTGTCAATATCATTTGTATCATGGACAATATGCTTATATACCAGTTTTATTTACAGTTATCATTCATTGTATGTTACTTTAACAAGTCCAGGAGTTCAGTATATTTCGAATTCAGAAGACAACTTGGGAATGATTGAAACAAGTTTATTTGACAAATAAACCCACCAATTTTTGACCTTCCCATTATTTGTTTTGTCGTAATTGTCTTGTGTTATGTTGTCATTAATCGAAGCAGGTTTTGCAAAATCTTTTCCGGAGCAGCTGCACGCAATTTTATCCTATGAATTGATGCAAACGATTTTAGGTAATTGTGCATGAACTCTTAATATACGTGCGTAAGAAGGGAAGATCGTCGAACAAGGACGGTTCTCAAATATCGAGCCAGAAAATTTATAAAAGGAGTTATTAAAAGTTTTTTGACCAGATAGAAATAGTCTTGTGATACTCGCACGAAACTATTAATTTCTATCGGTGATTATTCTTACGCCTAGAATGGGAGTAAATTTTTTTTCAAATAGTTAATCTAGTTTTAAAAAACATTTTAGCATGATAGAGAAAAAGGGAAAAGTAAGACTGCATTTTGTTTATATTAAGAACTTCATGCATATAAAAGGGTTTTAAATCTAAGTTCATGTATGAGTTTATTACGAACAATATTTTGCATCCACTTTCTCCTGCTTTTTTTATTTTATATGTGATAGTTCACATAATGTCATTGAATTAATGGATGTAAGAGTGGCTGAAAAAATATAGCATGGAATTTGTATAAAATATTCAGTTCCGCAGAAGTTATTAATTTTTTATATTCTTTTTTTGTGGGAAATCATTCCATCTTTTTATGAAAAAAATACTGTTACCAGCATTAATATTTTTCTGAGGTTGAGTATCGTTGTATATTTTTTTTACTTTATTGTTGCCAAAAATAAATTAAAGAATTAACAAATGAAATTTGCTTTGATAGAATAGTTGGACTGTTAACATGTTTCGAAGAGCATTCAGAAAATGATTAGTTTTATATTTGTTACCGTCGTGCTGTGATTGTTGTGATTGTGTTTGCTTGAAATTACGTTGTTCCGGTTGTAATGCATGTTCCGTACAAGAAATCCTCCTGATCATTGACTGATTAATGACTTAGTCAGCTTATTTTGTCCTTAATCTATTTGTATAGAAAAAAACTACTGATTAAAAGATGCCATATTTTTATTCAATCAATTTGTTATCCTTATAGATATTTTTCATAATTTTTACATTGTGCCTCATGGCCCTTAATTGATTTTTACAGTTTGCTGCCAACGGGAAGGGAAGAGGTAAAAGTATTTGCAAAACAAAATAAAGGTGCATTTTTTTCCTTTCAGAAGAAGATAATGATATTGATTTGCGTGACAATTCTAATCGCCATATTGGTCCTCATGTTGATGACATTTATCCCAAGTCCTTTCTGAAATACTGGGCTACTCATATTATTACTACTAAAAAATCTTTGTTTTCGTTCATATCTTTCTCGCTATAAAGAGCATTATAGTTTCCTGCAATTATAAGTTACTTTTTATTAATTAATTTTATTTTCGTACTTAAATGGGATGGAAACACATTTATTAATTTATGAAATTTACTTTCTTAATTCGAAGAAGAATATCCAAGCTGCTAATAACATGTAACAAAATGACAATCCCTCTGAGAGAAGCTTGTGCTGTTTTGTGTTTTCAGATGACGTTTTATGACCGCAGACTTTTTTATATATATCATAAAGACAGAATGGCTTGTATTGAGTTACATGAAGAAAACTGAGAATGTTGAATTTAATATTTGCTTTGCATCCATCCCTTTTAGTACTTGATAAGATAAGGTACAACCTAGTTATCCATATTTGTTCACATCTTATTCATCATCATCATATTAGCAACCTTAATGATAGTGTGTTTTGTTCAGCTTTTTGCAATTTTATCAGTCTTATCAATCATTTAGCCTTGTGTTGCAGTCGAATCAATACACGGGCTTATTTTTGTATTATTCTTTACTGATGACGTACGTAGCAGTTATCTTTTTTTTCTTGCTTTGTCACTGCCTAAATTTATATAAATTTCACATTTGTTTTATAATTATTTATCCAATACTATTGCATTTATTTGTATTTATCCTGTAAATGTCTGAAGATATCGAAAATTGCATGATCTCCCATCATAGCAAAAATGGGAATTTTTTTCTTGAGATTTGATGTTCTAAGCATTTGATAATATCTGTTTAGGACCTATTCAACCATCATTAATGTTGGGAGAAAAGACTCAGTCCGGAAATTTTTTGCCGACTTCTTGATCTTTTACTGTGTTAAGACGGACTAAGTCACGCATTTCCATCTCCTTATTTCTAAAATATACAGAATTTAATTGTAAAGACACTTTCAATTTGGAAATTTGTAGTGTGAATGGGTCGTCTAATTTTGCAATAAAATGATTCAGTGTTATTTTTTTTTGAAGTCGCTTGTGATCTCGAAAAGCAATTGGTAGTTGTATTTCTTTATCAATTTTCCTCACAAATGTATTGAATTTCATTAAGTCAAATTGGTAATCTTATTTTTGAGTTCATTGATTTCGTATTTTATGAAACAAAATTCGGTTAATACTTTCTTTTTCGTTTTTTATAATTTGTTCTAATATAATATTGTTGATGTTGTATGATTTTTAATGGTTTTACAAGATATAACAAAGGTCATAAATGCAGTAGCCATGTCAGTAGGTTTGCAGTCTAAGCAAAGAGTATGAAAATCTGAAAAGAAAAGAGGAAAGGTGGAGGTTGGAGAAAAGTAAAAAAAAGTTAGAGTTCATAGATTTTGAAATTTCGAGAGCAAATGTTGTTGTTGTTAGAAACCCTGAATAGACTATTTTTTAAAATATTAGGATGCACCATAAATTTCGGGAATAGTTCGCTAATCTCTCATTTCGCGTGCTGATTTGCTTTTGAATAACGGCTACTGCTTTAGTTATTAAGAAATAATGATCCAACAGCAAGAAGACTTACATGAATTAGTGAATTTTCTGCAGATTCAATTTATTACATACACTAGCCATGTTTATGCAATTTAATGTTTTTTTTATTTCGATGCTATTTCGGAAAGTTTCGAAAAATATCGAATATAATAGAAATTTTTTTGATTGGAGAAACTAGTTGGAATTTAATTACCCTAGTAGTTTTGATTTTTGATCTTATTTTTCGTTTTTGAAAAAACTTCCAGTTTCAAAAAAAGACCATACGGATAGGTCGTATTTCGTCCATTTCTTTTAAAAACAGAAAAATTGAGCTAAGATATGTGTTATTCGAATGTGATCTGAAGAGAAGTTGCAATTCTTTCGTGATAGCTTTTATTTCATAATTTTGCTATAGAATTATTGGAAATTTAATGAAAAGCTGTTAGTAAAATTCGCCGCTTCGAAATTTAAGTGTAATAAAATGTTTTTGAATTTGAGTTGAGATTTGTTCATATGTTCTCACGAAAGCGATTAATGAATATTGATTTAGCTTAATAACAATTAACATTTAGAAATTATTTCCTAAGTTTCATAAAGCTTTGAATTCTAAGTTCTGTAAAAGCTCGGAAGTTATACAACTAAATTAAAGTCCAATTTATTACTAATTTTATTTGTTCAAAAACGCACTTGTCATATTCCCTAAAGTAGTAAATTTTGTTCTTTTATCAAAAGAATTTTTTATTGTGAATGATAAAAGCTGAAAAAGGAATACATTTATTGTCATAATTTAATAATGGAAGAGCGTAACACAGTAGTTAAGGGCAACATAATATGAGATTTTGAAAGTTTATTCCTTTTCTCCTGGAATACCGCTATTTACTAAAGCTGCTTGATTATCGGAGGACGATCAATTGTATGTATGGTTATTATAGAAGTAATGGAAGATAGGAGTGTCTTGCGAGGATAAAACGTTTATCAATTTTTTGTCTTTACGATCTGAGAGGGTGTACTTCATTGCTTAAATTCTATAGCAGTTAAAAACAATTTATCACCAGAGAGAAAAGAATTTATTTGGACACCTAAAGTTGTAAAAAGTTATCGCATTTCAGAAAAAAATTTGCATTTTGGTATTCATTATGTTACTGTTGGTGTCACTGGCGCTATTCCTTGTTATTTACTTTGGTGGATCATCCAAATCATCACAGAAATAGACTTTTTCCAGTGGACATTCCAAATCGATGTTTATCAGTGTTCTTACTCTTACACTTCTGACATTGAAAATATCCAAATGAGGACGTTGATAGAATGTGATATCTAAGTGAAAATAATCATTTACTTTTATCGTTGCTTTCTTCTGTCAAGTGCAATTCATTTTTTTTATACATGTTTAAATTTTCAGTTTCCGAATTTGTTCAGGCATAATTTTTTAACTGTTACTTTGTTTTGAGCAAAAAATATTTTGTAATGATTAGAAAAATAGTAATTTGATAAGACATTCAGGCCAAAGCGTGTTATCTCAGCATAAAATTGACTTTTCTTATTATGGACGATAAAGATATGAGAAAATAAAAGGAGTTAACAAGAGATAAGATTTTAAAAAGAACAAACAGGATTTCTGGAAAAATGAGAGAAGATATGTTTGGATCAAGATATAGTCACTCATTATGGTTATTAATCTTTTTAATTGCCATCTAGAAGAAAATTTGGCCAATTCACAGTTCTGAGATGATAGAATACATTTATTCTTTGCAAATCCTTAAATTATTCGGGATATTTCACTTTAGTATTGCAATCTAATTGCTTCATTTCTGAACGATCTACGGATAATGAATGGTTCACTCGTGATAATAGTTGTATCAATCATATACTTGCCATGTAATTATTCGTATTATTATTATTATTAATTAATCAGTTAATTAATAAATTAACTTATTTATCTATTTTATTTATTTATTTAATTCATTATTATTATTAAATTATTATTTAATTATTAATTATTAATTATTATTATTATTATGCAAACGCGCATATATCATTTTTTGAATGTGAATAAGTGAAGACCCTAGTGTTGAATCGATCATTGGTTTCTGCAGTTACAATTAGTTGTTTGAAGTAAGCGTAAATTTAGCTTTGGAATAGGGCATTCATTGGTTTATGAAATATTGTAACTTATGATTACGTTGATTACGTTACCAC